CCCACAATATTCCTTTTCCTGTCTCTTGCCTTCATTCACCACCTCCTTCTTTTTGAACAATCATCTACCCGAGAGACAGCATGGCAGCAACTTGCATGTCATGACAAGCAGCCCGTATTCAGAAGATCAGAATGACAGGCACTCCAAGCATGAAACTACTGTTATAAATTGCCATCTTCAGTGCAGTTGCTTAGTTCACAGGAATCAGTATATATAGTTAGGGTGAGAATCTTTCCAATTAACTGCTAGATTCAAAAATCTTCTAGAGATTCTCAGGATCATTGCCTTTCCCATCTTCTACATATAACTTTATGGCTTGTCACTGTCATGTTTCCTAGCTCTTCTTTTTTTTATTAAAATTTTAATATTTATTAAGTATTTATTTTTAAAAATCAACATTTTCAACATTGCCTGTATTTTTGGTGTACAAAGTCCAAAAATTAACAACAGAAATAAATTCCTATATGAACTATAACAAAAATACCATTAAAACTCTACAACAAAAATAATCTTCACTTCAATTATCACACCTAAGGCAGTCTTCACACATGACAATTACATGTTCCATACATACTATTGTTTATACTGAGAACACATGTGTTTTGCTTTCCTAGCCTTTTTGTAGGACATATTTTACATTTTGCTTGTCTTGCTGTTTTGTCAGGATGTTCTTATCATATTATAAAATGTATAATTAACAGTAACACTACATATTAATAAAATAAAATATTAAATTCTGAATATGTACTGGGAATTTAGGAATAAACTTTTTCAAATCAGTTGTGTACTTGCTTACAAAACCTACAAGATAACATCAGAAATAAAGCTATATGTGAACTGTCTGTGAACTATAATGTAAACACAAAGAAAGGACTGCTACAGAAATAATCTTTGTCACACACAAGGGAGTCTTGGTGACAACTGCCTGTTCTATACACAAGGATAGCTTACACTTTCATGTCCTTTTGGTCTGGAACAGTGGACATATTTTTAGTTTTCCTATTGTCACAGTGGATCTTTATGATATTGCATCTGCCTTATTTACGTGTCAGCTCTCCAATGTGCTTTATAAATATTTTGTGTAGTTTCCTGGGCAGAAATGCTTTGTTTTTCCTCTGCTGTAGAGG